TATATATATACATATACACATACACACATACTGCATGTTGAAATGCGTTTTTTATATATTACAAAATATATGAAAAAATATTTTTAAAAATATATTTTTCAGTTTTTTTTATATTGAATATGGCCAGAATTGTAGTATTTCAAATAAATGTCAATATATTTGGGAAGAATATTTTTTAAATATATTTCAAATATATTTTTCTTCCATGAGGGTTAGTCAAGTGTTTCTATTCAATTGTAATGTGTGTGGCCATCTAGGCCAATGTTTCTCAACCTTTTATCAGTCAAGGCACCCTTTAAAATCATGGACAGTCTTGAGGCATCCCATTCTAAAATTCTAAAAGTTTTATATAACGCAGCAACATCCACACATGTAGGACACCCAACATTAGAGGTGATTTATTCTTCCAAAGCAAATACACTTTTGCACACTGGTACTGAGTAGTATTCCAGTGTTTCTCTTCTCCCTCGTTTTTTCTCCATCACTGAGCTAATGTGACCCCAGCACTGATGGAGAGGGGCAGGGGAGGGTCAAACTAGGATGCTGTGCATGCGGCTGACATCCTCCTTATCAACTGATGATGTCATTGGTTGTCAGGACGCCGGCAGCTAGTAGGTTGTAATGGTGCACAATAAAAACCTGTGGCTTTGTGTAACTGAAAGGCAGGCTTGTTTCACCCACAAGTTTTGGGCAATTTTTAGACATTTTGCCAAGGCACCCCTGAAGACACCTCAAGGCAAGCCAGGGTGTGGCACCCTGGTTGAGAAAGGCTGATCTAGGCTGCATCTAGGCTCACATTAAAATAAATCATGTCAATCAAGTTTCTTAAATTTCTAGAGATGCAGATGTGCTCTACAATACGGATGATTTTCCTAGGGGCACAAAACACTGTCTAGTAGACATGGGTGATTAGTTTTGTTACAATTGTAATTTGGACCAAATTTTTAATATTCGGAGATTCGGATGTAAACAAAAACATAGGCATAATATAAATCATAAAAGTCCATGTGCCTTCACCACATGCCCAGGGGGTGTATTTACCACAAGGCACACAAGGCATTTGCCTAGGGTGTCATTTTTCAGGGGGCAGCACCGTCCCCCGAAAGGAGGAAAGGAAGAAGGGACACACGCAGCACTGGGGACCAGAAGGGATCTGAGAGAGGCTGCAGGGTGCTTGATGGCGCATGCAGAGCCTGACTCTTGTTCCCGGGGATGTCCGAAGCTGTGAAGGTGAGTGTCTTATCTCTTGATAGGGGGGGACGGTTGTAGTGGAAGGCTCTCGAGAGAGGGGGAAGGGGGGGGGGGCTGGGTTGTGGTTGGTCAATGTCAAGCTCTTTTCGTGCAGGAGGGGTGTTTGCCGGTGTCAGGGTCTCTCAGTGGGGGGGGGGGGCACTTTTTGTGTTGCCTAGGGTAGTATGAAATCTAAGTACTCCACTGCACGTGCCAAACACAAATTGATTGTGATAACAATCAAGGATCATAACAGTTCTTTGGGACATAACGTTGATGACAGTCCCAAAGGACTGTTATGATCTTTGATTGTTATCACAATCAATTTGTGTTTGGCACATGGGGAAGGTACATGGATTTTAACATTTATATTTCGCCTATGCTACCTATATTTTCATTTTGTATACAGTGAGGAACAGAAGTATTTGAACATCCTGCGATTTTGCAAGTTCTCCCACTTATAAATCATGGAGGGGTCTGAAATTCACATTGTAGGTGCATTCCCACTCTGAGAGACAGAATTAAAAAAAAAATTCAGGAAATCACATTTTATGATTTTTAAAGAATGTATTTGTCTTGCACTGCTGAACATAAGTATTTGAACACCTGAGAAAATCAGTGTTAATATTTGGTACAGAAGCCTTTGTTTGCAATTACAGAGGTCAAACGTTTCCTGTAGTTCCTGACCAGGTTTGCACTGCAACAGGGATTTTGGCCCACTCCTCCACACAGATCTCCTCTAGATCTGTCAGGTTTCGGGGCTGTCGCTGAGCAACACGGAGTTTCAGCTCCCTCCAAAGATGTTCTATTGGATTTAGGTCTGGAGACTGGCTAGGCCACTCCAGAATCTTGATATGCTTCTTACGGAGCCACTCCTTGGTTATCCTGGCTGTGTGCTTCGGGTCGTTGTCATGTTGGAAGACCCAGCCACGACCCATCTTCAATGCTCTGACTGAGGGAAGGAGGTTGTTTCTCAAAATCTCACAATAAATGGCCCCATTATAAATAAATTATAGCAATTACAAAAAAACAACAAATTATAACAAAATGAGTTTTCCAAATTCTAATTCGAAAATGAATTTGATTTCAAATTCAATAATGAATTTGAATTTGTAAATTAATTTTAATTTGATAAAAAATTTGAATTAAAAAATGAATTTGAATTGGAAGCATATTGCAATAAATACAGTATTACAATAGGTACAGGTATAAAAATGATATAAGATGATGATTCCTACTTAGGCTGCTTTATAGAATAGAATAAAACATAAAAGTACAGAATAGAATATAAAGGAATAGAATAGAATATATAAGAATAGAATAGAAAATAAAGAAATACAATAAAAAATAATAGAAAAGATTGGAACAGAATAGAATAAAATAGAAAGAATAGACAATAAAGGACTAGAATAGAATAGAAATGAATAGAGTAGAATAGAAAATAAAAGAATAGAATCAAACAGAATAGAATAGAAAATAAAATAAAATAAAATAAAACGATAGAATAGAAAGAAATAAAATAGAATAGAATGACTATAGCCATCTTCAAAAATTTCAAATCTATTTGAAAATCCGAATATATGAAACAAATTCTGAAAACAAATCATTCTAACATAACGAATATGATGAAACAAAATTATTAACTTAACTAATAAATCCAAAACAAAATTAAATCATTTTTTTCACCGTTCACATCTCTATTGTCTAGAGTTATTTCTCATAAAGGAACTATTTCCTTCAATCGTAACGATTTCATGTTTTACATATCCCTAGCTAAAGAGAGATGGATGACTTCTGATGCTCTAAAAATAAACACGTACAAAATTAGACCAGATCTTTCAACAAACTTCTAGCTTACTTTTTTTTTTAACATATGCGGTGATCACAAGGTATTAAAGATTTATTGGCACTCTGAAGAAATTACATTTTCCTTTGAACTTCCGCTTCGCATTCTCAGCCAGTAATGAGCTGCCTATGGATGTTGCATTAAACACAGATTACATTAGATTTTTGAACAGATATAAACTTTAAAGGAACACAAATTTCAGATCATTTCAAATTAAATTAGCACTAAAGTTACTGATGACTTGGCCCTGGCATTCCGCAATTAAAGTAGATCTAAACCCAATAACAAAATCTTGTATACACTCAAATATTTTTATATAAATGTAACCACTTTCCCTCCAGAGGATTTACCCCCCTTCCTGGCCAGGCCATTTTTGTGATACGGCACTGCGTTACTTTAACTGACAATTGCGCAGTCACGCAACGCTGTACATAAATGAAATTTATGTCATTTTATCCCACAAATAGAGCTTTCTTTCTTTGGTATTTGATCATCTCTGCATTTATTGTTTGCACTATAAACAAAAAAAGACCAACAATTTAAACAAAATAAACAATATTTTTGACTTTTTGCTATAAAACATATCCAATACATTTTTTTAAAAATAAAATGTATTCATATATTTAGGCCAAAATGTATTCTGCTACGTCTTTCCTAAAAAAAAAATCCCAATCCCAGATCTGAGTATACAAAGGAGCATGGGGCAGTTCATGTTCATAATGAGGATGATATTGACATAGCCCCAAATGATCTACAATGGCTCAAAATTAATATGATTCAGACATATTTAGACAGGTCCTTAAAGAATTGAGCTCTGCTATTTCAAAGCCATTGTTTCTAAATTTTATGGACTCTTTAATGACTGGCATAGTGCCACTGGATTGGCATAAGACCAATGTGGTGCCAATATTTCAAAAGGGATCAAAATCTTTACCAAGTTATTATTATTAAAGACCTGTAAGTTTAACTTCTATGGTTGGGAAGATACTGGAGAGTTTAAAAAAAGACCACATAGATGAGTTTTTGCCATAAAAAATATATTTCAAGCAACAGACAGCATGGATTCATGAAAGACAGAAGTTGTCAAACAGATCTGATTTCTTTTTATGAGAAGGTGAGAAAAACTTTGGACAGAGGGGTGGCGGTGGACGTGGTATACTTGGACAGAGGGGTGGTGGTGGACGTGGTATACTTGGACAGAGGGGTGGCGGTGGACATGGTATACTTGGACAGAGGGGTGGCGGTGGACATGGTATACTTGGATTTTGCAAAAGCGTTTAACACAGTTCCCCACACATGGCTAATGTGTAAGGTAAAGTCTACAGGCTTGGAAAAATCCGTATGTAAATGGATAGAAAACTGGCTAAAAGATCATATTCAGAGAGTAGTAGTAGTCATACTCTGACTGATCTAGGGTTGTCAGTGGTGTACCCCAGGGTTCAGTGTTGGGACCCTTACTTTTTAATACATTTATAAACATTATAGGGTCTGTGATTAAAAATCCCATTTCAGTCTTTGCAGATGACACCAAGTTTTGCAGTGGAATATACTTCAAGAAAACTCCCGCGCAATTATGCACCTGCTGTTTCTTGTTAATTGTACTGCTGCTGACACTCTATGCGTTCCCACATATGACCAGAATATTATATACAGAAAATAGTGCTGTGCAGTACCCACCCACTTAAAATAATACTGAGAGTTCACTAATCAATCACATGTATAACCACCGACTCCTTTTACCTTCTATATACAACCTAAGGAGTATTAGGTGTTAATGCACCTACCCCTTGGAGCAATAGCATCATTAACCGCCTCCCGCCCACCATATAGTAATATGACGGACGCAAGGTGGTTCTCTTGTTCTGGGAGGACGTCATATGACATCCTCCCATTCTAACCGCGCATGCGCAGCTCCTGAAGTGCGCAGCGCGGCGATCGGCGGTGCGCTGTGTCCCACCGATCCACGGAAAGAGCCGAAGATGTCGGCTCGGTCATGTGATCAGCTGTGTCCAATCACAGCTGATCACATGTAAACAGGGAAATGCCTGTTATCGGCATTTCTCTCCCCACGAGCTGTCACGCTGACAGAGGAGAGGAGAGTCGGTAATTGGCATTCCTCAGGAGGGGACATGTACACTGATCATCAGAGCACTGATGATCTGTGTAGCCCCAGCAGCGCCACCTGTCAGTGTCCATCAGTGCCAGCTTTCAGTGCTCATCCATGCCACCTGCCAGTGCCCATCAGTGCCACATCAATGCCACATATCAGTGCCCATCTGAGATGCCTTTCAGTGTCACCCATCAGTGCCAGTCAGTGCCACCTATCAATGCCAGTCAGTGCCAGTCAGTGCTGCCTATCAGTGCCAGTCAGTGCCGTCTATCAGTGTGCATCAGTGCCACCTATCAGTGCCCGTCAGTGCTGCCTATCAGTGCCGCCTAACAGTGCCAGTCAGTGCCCCCTATCAGTGCCGCCTATCAGTGCCATATATGAGTTTCTGCCTTTCAGTGCCCATCAGTGATGCCGGTCAATGCCTATCAGTGCCAGTCAGTGCCGTCTATCAGTGTGCATCAGTGCCACCTATCAGTGCCCGTCAGTGCTGCCTATCAGTGCCGCCTAACAGTGCCAGTCAGTGCCCCCTATCAGTGCCGCCTATCAGTGCCATATATGAGTTTCTGCCTTTCAGTGCCCATCAGTGATGCCGGTCAATGCCTATCAGTGCCACCTACCAGTGCCTCCTCATCAGTGCCCATCAGTGCCACCTATCAGTGTCCATCAGTGCAGCCTATCAGTGCCCATCACTGGAGCCTCATTAGCGCACATCAGTGAAGGAGAAAAATCACTTATTTACAAAATTTTATAACAAAAACTAAGAAAAAAACGTTTTTTTTTTTTTAAATTTTCATTGGTTTTTGGTTTGTTTAAGAAAAAAATAAAAACCCGGAGATGATTAAATACCACCAAAATAAAGCTGTCACAAAAAAATGATAAAAAATTTCATATGGGTACAGTGTTGCATGACTGCGCAATTGTCATTCAAAATGCAACAGCGCTGAAAGCTGGAAATTGGCCTGGGCAGGAGGGGGGTATAAGTGCCCAGTAGGCTATTGGTTAAAAGTGATTGAAAGTTGGACAACACAGAATTGCAAATATTGAAGATTGTGTATATATATATATATATATATATATATATATATATATACTGTATATACAGTATATATGAAAAAAATTACACTGAGACGTACGGAATACTTATTTATATTTATTGGCTGTTATATGTCATGCAAATCAATTTTATTTTATTTTTTTGTAATGGTTATACATGTGAATGATTAGCGAATGAACGGTAATATTTTGTATTTGGGTGGGTACTACGCGTCACTGTTTATATAATATGCAGTGGAATAACATCCTTACAGGATATCACCAAAAATATGATTCCATACAATGCCAAGCTGTAGTTTCTAAAGCGAGCAAAATCCTCTCTTGTATTAGACGACGTATAGACTGCATAGAGAGAGATATCATTTTGCCCCGGTACAAATCATTAATAACCACTTGACGTCAAATCACGTACATGTACGTCATTTGGCATTAGGTGCCCCCAGCTGCAGGAATCATCCCGGTACAGTTTTTTTAGAGCTGATAGTCCGCTCTCATGTTACAGCAATCCAAACCTCTAACTAGCCTAGATGTCCCGACATCCCCACCCCTCCGCCCTCTGCAGCATTAACAGGCTGTCCCGTCCCACCATCGACCAGCTGGTGCTTCCGCTGGCTGATCATAGAAGCAAATAAGAAGCAGAACTGATTCGGTTTGGCTCTATGATATAGTGAACTGAAAGCGATGTGATCATTTTGACCCCACGGGGTGAGATCTTGCGTGGAGCCCCAGATCGAGGGAGATTATCAGTGGTCTTGTATGTCTTCCATTTTCTAATTATTGCTCCCACAGTTGATTTGTTCACACCAAGCTGCTTGCCTATTGCAGATTCAGTCTTCCCAGCCTGGTGCAGGTCTACAATTTTGTTTCTGGTGTCCTTCGACAGCTCTTTGGTCTTCACCATAGTGGAGTTTGGAGTGTGACTGTTTGAGGTTGTGGACAGGTGTCTTTTATACTGATAACAAGTTCAAACAGGTGCCATTGATACAGGTAATGAGTGCAGGACAGAGGAGCCTCTTAAAGAAGAAGGTACAGGTCTGTGAGAGCCAGAAATCTTGCTTGTTTGTAGGTGACCAAATACTTATTTTCCACCATAAATTGCAAATAAATTCTTTCCAAATCAGCCAATGTGATTGTCTGGATTTTTTTTCTCATTTTGTCTCTCATAGTTGAGGTCTACCTATGATGCCAATTACAGGCCTCTCTCATCTTTTTAAGTGGGAGAACTTGCACAATTGGTGGCTGACTAAATACTTTTTTGCCCCACTGTATCTTAGTGTGATCAAATGCTTCTAAGGGCAGAGGGGAGGGATTTGGGGTCTTATTGGGCAGATCTCTCAATAAAGAGTGCCCGTTACATGTCTATATCTGTCACAAGGGATGTTTACATCCCTTGTGACAGCAATAAAAGTGATGAAAAAAAATTAAAGCACCAGTGTAAGAATAATAATAATAATAATAATAAAAAAAAAAAATCCCCCATGCTTGCGCATAAAGGCGAACGCACACATCGGTCATGCACGCAAGCAGTGATTATACCACACATGTGAGGTATCACCATGAATGTCAGATCATGGACAGTAATTCTAGCACCAGACCTCTTTTGTAAATATAAAGTGGTAAAGACTTTTGAAGCATCCTATGGATAGTAAAATTTTTGTTGTGTTACCACTGCACGAGCATGATGCACAATTTTAAAGCATGACATGTTTGGTATCTATTTACTCAGCGTCATCACATTTTATATTTTATTAAAAAAAATGGATTATTGTGTTATGTTTTTTTGCATTAACATTTCAAAAAAGTGTATTTTAAAAAAAAAAGTGTATGAAAAGCTGCTGTGCAGGTAACGTGTGACATAAAAAATTGCAACACCCACCAATTTATTCTCTAGGGCCCCTGCTTTAAAAAAATATAATGTTTGGGGGTTCTAAGAAATTTTCTAACTAAAAAATACTGATTGTTACATGTAAGCAAAAAGTGCAAGTGGATAAGACCTCATCTGGAATATGTAGTTCAGGTTTTGGCACCAGTTCACAAAAAGGATATTGGGGAACTGGAGAAAGTGCAGAGATGGGCAACCACACTGATACGAGACATAGAGGAGCTGAGCTATGAGGAAAGATTAGAGGCACTGAATTTATTCTCTCCAGAGACAAGGAGATTAAGGGGGGATATGATCAACATGTATAAACACCTACTAGGTGGTCCATATAGTTAACTTGGGGTAGAATTATTCACTTTAAGAAGTAGTAGTATCCTCTGCCCCTCCCCCACAGTAGTATCCTGTGTTCCCCAAAAGCAGTGTCCTTTGACCCCCAATGCATCTTTCTCTGCCCCCAGCGGCATCCTTTGCCCACTTCACATCATCCCCAACAGAAACATAGTAGTGCTGAGGTAGGAATGGGTGTACAGTCAGCAGAACGGACAGCAGTAGGCAGCACAGTACTGGATGGAGGGCGGGGAGCTGTAGGAGTTAAAGTGTTACTAAACCCACAACAGTAAAAATCAGTACTGTGTATATGCAGTAAAGCATGCTTGTTATACTCACTGTGGAACCCAAGGGGTTAACCCTCTTCATTATGTAAAACGGCTGTTTGATCCTGTTTTCTCTGATCCTCTCCTTCTTCCCCAGTCCCCAATATATCTCTTGATACAACAGAGCCTTGGGGGCACACTGAACATGCTCAGTTTGGTGTATATTGCTAGAGAGTTTCTTTTTTTTTCTTGAGAGAGTGCATGTGATCAGCACAGAACCAATCAGAACTATCCAGACAGAGGGGTCAGGAGTTAGGCAGCCTCATAGGACAATCAGAGGAGAATGAAAACTCCTCCTACAAGCTTTACTAGTGCTCTGCTGGACACTGATAGAAGTCACAAGACTGCTATATGCTGCTGATGAGGTATTTAGCAGTTTATATTTACTAAAATAATTGCACTTCCGTGTTCTGTGTACTGTGGGAGACCGGATATAGTAAATGCAGGGTACGGGGAGACTAGATATAGTGAATGCAGGGCCCGGGGAGACCAGATATAGTGAATGCAGGGTCCAGGGAGAGCGGATATAGTGTATGCAGGGTCCGGGGAGACCGGATATAGTGAAATGCAGGGTCCGGGGGGGACTAGTTATAGTGAATGCAGGGTCCTTGGAGACCAGATATAGTGAATGCAGGGTCCGGGGAGACCAGATATAGTGAATGCAGGGTCCGGATAGACCAGATATAGTGAATGAAGGGTCTGGGGAGACTAGATATAGTGAATGTAGGGTCCGGGGAGACCGGATATAGTGAATGCAGGATCCTGATAGGCCAGATATAGTGAATGCAGAGTCTGGGGAGACCAGATATAGTGAATGCAGGATCCTGATAGGCCAGATATAGTGAATGCAGAGTCCGGGGAGACCAGATATAGTGATGCAGGGTCCGGGGAGACTAGATATCGTGAATGCAGGGTCCAGGGAGACCAGATATAGTGAATGCAGGGTCCGGGGAGACCAGATATAGTGAATGCAGGGTCCTGATAGACCAGATATAGTGAATGCAGGGTCTGGGGTTTAGTAACACTTTTCATATTAACAAACTGGTGACTTCCTAGCAACCAGTCACTTGCTGGTTAACTAAAGCTGCTTCCACCCTCCGTCCAGTATTGCCTCTCGCTCTCCACTCTGCTGTGAAAACGTGCAGAGTGACGGAGACCAGCTAAGCCGTGTTCATGATCTACATGTTGGCTGCCTGAGGTCGACAGGTAGTTCACATTCGACAGGTTGCTGACCCCCGCTTTAGTTAAAAATACAACTGAAAAACCTAGAGGACAACATTATAATAATTGTGGCAAACCATTGCACTGTTGCATTTTTTTCCACGTTTGTAAGTGTACCTACCCACCTTTTCTTTCTAAAATTGTTAATTGTTGTTCTGATTGCTTAAGTGGAGAATTATTTTTGAAGTACATTAATTTTAATCAGTGTGTTCATTTTAAGTATATGAAATGATGCTGACATGCCCAGCTCATGCCTGTAAAATATTAATTTGGCCAAATGAAGCTATAATTTTAGCAGACAAAACATTTTTTTAGTTGTGAATAGAGGGGATTATTAAAACTTTTTTTTTTTTTTTTTTTAATTTTGCTGTCTTTGATCACATTGAGACAGTTTCCCTTACATACAATCCTCTCCTTGTAACTCCAAGACAAAGAATCAGAAACAAGTATCACTAAGCCAAGAAGACAAAGAAAGCAATAAAAGCCTAACCTTTCCAACTCAGAGTTTATAATTGCTTTATCTGTTAAGATTAGAGTGATTTGTAATCATATATTTTCCTT